ACAAATAGTTAAAGATGGGCTAGTTTAGAGCCTCGCACAGCTGGGGGGATGTAGCTTATGTGATTGAACACAGCCTGACAAATCCCATCAATGTCAACGTATTTATCATTATAATAGATCTAAAAACTTATGAAAATGCTAGAACTAATACATATGCAGGCATTTTCATACATTTTCTCATTTGCCATATGTGGGCGTGGCCGGATTGACAACAACTATGCCAATCTATAGCAACCCCTAAGTCGTCAGCTGTCAATGTGTTTTATAATTTATACTTATGCGCATTTGCCCTATCGGATATTGGGCGAATGCGCAGGAAATCCGTTTACAACCCCCTCAAAAAAAAGAGACACATAAGTATATATATATATAAAATGCAATTCGATTATTGGCACACCGAACAATAGCTGCCGATATGATAATAATAATTGCGTACAGATACGCGGGGGTAAAACAAAATAAAAAAAAAAAAAACGTAGCCAACTGTGAAAATGCGCGTGTTGGCAAACGTTTATATTGAATGGGTGTTAATAAAAGATAAGATATGTATTTTTCAATTTTCTCAAGCTCTTTATAAGGGTAAGAGCACTGTCTGCTTTCCCACAGCCAGCCATAATTTCATAGGCAGTTTTCACTTTCATAACGGGGCCCCCCGCAATTAACATATTACCGCTCCGAGTGCTAATAGATATGCGTATAAAGCATTTATCTGAGCGCTCATGTATATTCCGCAAAAACCCAATCTTAACTCTAAAGATTTATTGCCTTTGAATAGACAACTCAACTAAGCGGGCAATAATTATTTTTTAATAGCTGCAAAGTTTAGCTGCCCAACATGCCATGTATCTATAAGATACCATTTATTTGATTGATATGCATTGACTCTGTTAATGCTATTAAATTGTCAAAATACGCTGCCCACATACATAAATTATAAAATAAAAATTAAAGTAAAATAAAAATCACAAAAAAGGAGAAACACAATTCGATCATCAAAACGGCGCACAGTAGTAAAAATCCATTGTGGTTGACTCTATAGGGCCTCTGTCAAATTATGTTAAATAACCACAAAGCGCTGCATAAATTGTATTATATGTCACACATCATTTTCTTTGTAAGTATAATTAAAAATATAAAGGAAAACTACATTTAGTAATATATGCATGTGTTTTTTTATGTGCTTGACTTTTATGCACACATAAAAAATAACACCAAAAAAACCTTTTTTGAAATTTTTTATTTTTTTTGTCAACTTTTATTGAAGAGCCGATCATAAATTTTATCATTATCGACTGTCGACTCGGCGACAAAGTCTCGAAATTAAGGCCTCATTAGCATAAATTGTGCGCCTTCAACGGTGATTAACCGAGGAGTTTAACCACGGCAGGGAGGTGGGGAAATATTTCAAGTTTGTCACATAACTCAATTCCGTACACCTTCCAGAAGAACTTCACCCTTTTGACAGGCATATTTTGACATTTTAATTATTGAGAGTGCGTGCCTTTCTGACTCGTCTACGTGCTTAATATGTGGGCAATTTAAAACAGCTCAAGTGCGTGCCTCGAATTTGGGATTCGAATTTGAGAAACTCATAATACGGATTCGATTTTGTGGTTCTGCGTACGCTTCCTGTTCTCAAATACATTTCAAAGGTTGGTTCAATGAACTGCCGAGCAATTTGTGTGCTGCCAGCTCATTTATTGTTCAATAAATGATCATTCGGGTATTGTTATTATGCATTTATTTCACACCTCTATGAAGCGAAAAATATTATTAGTTTGTATTGATTTCTTATCCAGATTGGCTTAGCTTGCTCAAACAAATTTTAATTTATAATAAAAATCGAAAAGTAATAGTATATAATCTAATAGTTATAGTCCAATAAAATTAATTAAATAAAAGTTGTATTAGTTAATTTGTAAAAGTTATTACATTTTCTTGGGTTAATTTATATATATAATTTAAAATTTCTAAAAAATCCTTTCTAAAAAAATGTACTTTTTAATTTTAAAAACATTATGATTTAAAAAAATAAAATAGCTATTCTGCGCGACTACTTTCGTATCGCTAGGCCCCGGCGAGATTCGAACTCACGATCTCCTGTTTACTAGACAGGCGCTTTAACCAACTAAGCCACGGCGCCACTTGGAAGCACTGCGCACAAAGTTCCATCACAAGCAGCAATGAGCGAACCACAAGTTTGCTCGTTTTGTGTTGTGAATAGACGCTCTCGATGTCTTTCTCTCTCACTCGCTCTTGCTCACACCGTTGTTGTTTTTGTTGCTGTTGCTGATTTGAGGGTTAAATTTAACACAGCAGCAACCGAGCAGAGCAACAGCAGCAGCAAAAAAAATAAAAAAAATAAAAAACATACAAGAATAAATGCGTGGAAATATGAATTTTGAGCGATTCGTTGTGCGACCCACACACATAATTCGAACTAAATGTTTTCATATGTATAACACATATGTATGTATGTATATCGAACAAGTATGAAAAAAAGATAAAAACAAGAAAAATTACTTATGTTAACTCGAGCTAAACAAATCGTTTTTTAAATGGGGCAAGCCAAGTGAAATGCAACACCAAACGCGACATTTGGACACACACAAAGTGAAAGGCTGTCACTAGCAGCGCCGCCTCTTCGACCCCTTCTTCAACGAACTCCCTCTACATTTTCTAACAAATGAACTGAAGTGCTTAGCATATCATTTATTTTAGTTTTTCTTTTCATTTTTGTAGATATACATATATTATTTTAAGGCGCAATTGCAATTATTCATGGCTTCGATTTTTGGACTTTAGCTGCGTGGAAATTATAAATCAAGCACAGGCTAACAATTTTCCCTTTTTTATCCGGCGGCAACTTTATAATTTCCGTGTTGCTGTAAATAAACGACCAGAAATGCATTTAAAAAAAATGCCTCAATGTTGTTCCAGTTCCAGCTCCAGTTTGTTTAGCTTAGCTGCAGCTAGAGATACGAATACAATAGATACATAGCTGCAACTACGGATACGCTGGGCCGTAAATCGCAAAAAGCTATTGAAATCAATTGTTGTTTTTTTTTTTTAATTTTTTTTTTATAACACTTTTTTTTTGCGCCGCCCTGGCGTCTGCTTATCTTTGACACAGTTTTAGCAAAAAGTTCTATGCAAGCGTTTGCCATAACCGACATTTTTACGCACTTACGCATATCACAAGTTTACGCCTACTTTCAATCAAGTTTTCTTGGAAAATGTCATGTAATATGTTGCCCTAGTTCAATTTCCATTTGTCATAGCTCATAAAGTGCTCACATATTGCCAAAAGTTACCATCGTAAATATTTACTGGCATCTTCTGCTGGCTGCCTGTCACATTTTCATCGACTCTTCCCAAGACATTTTGTTATTGCTTATGCGTATGACAAGTTTTTCCAATTTCCTTTGGACATAGCTCATAAAGTGCTCACATAAAAACTAGACAAATATGTTCTAGTTGGCAATACCCAACCAGGAAGTACCCTGAATCTTCTTGGTGGGGGTAAGTGTAAAATGAAAGATATTTGATCTGTATACACTTTTCTGTCTAGCTCTTCAGTATAAAAGCTCTTTCAACATAAGATAATTGCTAAAAATGCATTATTATTTAGATATCGACTTTTACCGATCGCTCTTAAACGATTCGATTATCTGAAGTGGCACTACGGTTAAATCTCTGGATCTTATAGGTTCGGATGGTCATGCCTTAAACAAATCGGCTATTGATGCTGATCAATAATGTATAAACTTTATGTCGGAGTCGGAGATGCCTCCTTTTCCCTGTTAAATACATTTTCACGAGCCCAATTTACCCATTATAAATGGGTCCAGTAAATATACTGTAATTTTTTGCTAGCGCCATCTGCGGGCCAATCAGCGCGCTTTTATCCATGTAATTCATAGATGATAATTACCGTAACGTAAACAACTTTTAAAAGAAAACACACTCAGTTTTCCTTCACTTTCGCTTGGCGTCAAAAATCAATTTTTCGATCACTCAAGTGGGCACTCAATGGTTTTTGGCAGCAGCCAAAAATCAGATCTTCGAAGTGTGTTCCGGCATTAGCTCCCTGCAAGGCGCTCTAATAATTTTTTTTTAAATATATTTTTTGTACTTTTGGGCTGCTTTGATGATATCCGCGGCAGCTGCTCAGACTTCAATTGGTTCATAACAAGCTGCAGTTTAAGTATTTACAAAAATCTTGTTTATTATGGACCAAGTGCATAAGGTTCATTGAACGTGTGTGTGTGTGGGTGTGTGTGTGTGTGTGTGTGTATGGTTGTGCCGGCAACAAAGTGCTGACACACTTTGGCCAGGCAACAAAACAGGCAAACTGGGAATTGACAGGCCGTTGCCGGGCGGGCGGTCCCTGCGGCCACACAAGTGGTTTGACCTTTACAATGTGCCTGAACTTGAAATTCATTTCGATTCAAGTGCGGCAATTTCAATTAACCTCTAAATATGCCATTTATAACCTCACTTTAACCGGCAACGCCCCAGCTAGAGTTGACAAATTTCGCACAGCAGTGGCGCTGCACGCTAAACTCTTGGGCTAGCTCTAGGCTGATGATTAATTGCAAGTTCGAATACGTAGGGCGTAGTTTGTCTGATTAAATGTTGTTTTTATTTATTTTTTATTGGTTTGGAATAGCTTTTTGATATACATGGCTTGTTTGTATAGCCGTAAGTGCGGGCTACATTTCTTTTTTATCTGGCCAAAAACGTGGCTGCAATTTCTTTTGACAGCATTTAAAGTGTCGGACATTTAATTAACAGCTTTGGCTGTGTCTGGGTTGGGCTGAACTGGGTCTTGGCTTTGGGCACTTCACTGACATCCTGACACACTGGTTCTGGGTCGGCTAATCAAGCGGCTTTTGTGTGATTTTTTTTATTATATTTCTTCTTTTTTTTGTAAAGTCGCAGCTGGAAATTGATTGATAATTAATTAATACTTGTGCCCTGCTTTCTTTTCTTTTTAGCCATTCTGCAGCGCTCAACTGTGGATGTGGGTCGTATTAAGATACAAAGTGTGGCCACCTGCTTGTATCTGTGCATGGATGCTTGTGGCGCAGCCTATGCCTCGGTAAGTAAACAATGCAATAGGATAGTAATTATAGATACTATAGAAATTAGACTTAGACTCGGGATAACGCAGGAGATGCGATTATTTTAATTCCAATTCACTTCACATAATCTGATTCCATCTATTCGGGACTATTTAAAATCCCTCTTGCTGTTTCTTTCTCTCTCAATTGCTGATCCTAGACCAGACTTTAGACTAGGGTTTAGCAGGAATCGCGAATATTTGAGTACCAATCCCATTTCATAAAACATTATCTTATTTTATGCATTTTGTTTTTTTATAATATTTATTCAATACCGATTTCTATTTTCTTTTGGCTTTCCCCTTCTCTATCAATTTTTGGTCCTAGTTCCGCTTATGGCAACACAATTCATCCCTTTTGTTAGATTTTGCGTTTTGTAATTATTTTCTAATTATTCATTGATAGCTTTTAATACAATTCAGTCCACTCTTCAAGCCTTGAGGTTATTCAAGTAAATATTTAGCTTATTACTAGAAATTTTATAAATGTATCCTACAGTTTTTGACAAAACTGGCCCTTTTTCTTATAAATTAATGTACCAATCTTTCGAATATAAGAATATTATAAATTTGAATTTCTTCTAACCAAAAGTCAATTATAATCCCTCTTTTTCTCTCTAAGTCCTAAAATTTCCGACCCAATTATTTTGCACGTACGCCATTTGTCGCACAGATAATAAACTAAATTCTGATGGATTGTTTTCATTGTATTCGAAATTATGATTTCAATTACAATTATGTGGCCTTATCGTCAACTGAAGCGGCAAATTTCGATAATGTCCAATAACAAAGGCCCAAACAAACAAAAGATCCAGCCATAAATAACAACATTAAGTGCGTCGAGTGAAGTAAGCAACAACAAAAAGCCTCAAGGAAACAACTACAAACAGAACACACCTAAAGATATCCCTATATCCCTTGCCCATACATTTTTTTAGAGCATTCGAATGGGTTTTGGTTTCGGTTTGTTTTATTTTATATATTTTTTTTTTTTGGGGTGCGTCGTCAAGTGGCAAGTGAGCAGGGTCCTGGCGTGTCCTGTCGATAATTAATGTGACACTTTCTGGCCGACGACTCCCCGCTGCAATGCGCGTCGCATTTCTCGCCGCCTGGCGCCAAGCGGCGGCTGCACGTTGTTGTTGTTGTTGTAGTTGTAGTTGTTGCTGTTGTTTCGCTTTGATTACCGTTGAGAATTTGAGTTTTGTGGCCGCCCTTTGACCTTTTGCGCATGCAGCAGCCAAAATAGACGCGTTTGTGCCAATTCTGTCAGGCAAGGCGCGTTTTGTATCTGACAGATACAGACACATTTGCAGCCATAGCTGCAGATACTTGCTGTTGATTGATGCGCTTCAACACGCAACGCGGCAACACTTTGCTCTGCCGTTGCGGCCCTTTTGATGGCGCCGCATTTTTCAAGCATTTCACTAAGTTGGTCAAGTGGGCGTTGTATTTGGGCGGCTTTTTGTTTATTTTGGCGACCGTCCGCCAGAGTCTGTGCATTTCTAAAGAACCAGCCAGCGAAAGGAATCTATCTCGCTCTGTCTCTCTGCCTTCTCGCTAAAATTTCATGATTTCCGCTCAAAGTTTCGAGCTGTAAATTCGAATTGTATTTGGTTTTTTTTTTGTATTGGGCAACGGAAGTGGCCACAATTTGTATTGGCTGACTTACGCATTTCCGGCGTAACTTTAGATAGAGCGAGTTCTTTAAATTGTAATTTAAATTTCATTGATTTGTCACATGAATCATATTAATAAAAAGGATGCTTAATGATTTATAGCCATTTTTTATGTATAACGAGTTTGTATTGTCAAAAAAACCCTAAATTTTAGTTTATTTTAATTTCTACGAGTAGTTTTTACCGTTTATATTTCTTTTTGAAGGTCCGAAGGTCCAAAAAACAAAAAACAAAAAAAAAACAAAAGGAAATACAACTTTACTTCCTTAAAATCGTTCCTGTTTTGCATTTTATAATCTTATCTTATTGAGAATATTTTAAAATTTTATTTAAAAAAATTGCTTACAATTTTTAGTATCATTCACAGTTTTTTATAAACTTGTTATTATTATTTTATTATTATTATTAATTTTATTGCAATTTATTATTGATCATAATTTTGTAATTATTTATATATTATTACTACTACCACATATATTATTATTTTTATACCCCGAACCCATTAAAAATGGGTATAAGGGTATATTGTATTTTTGCGAAATCCAAATGTATGTAACAGGCAGAAGGAAGCATCTCCGACCCCATAAAGTATATATATTCTTGATTGGCATCAATAGCCGAGTCGATCTAGCCATGTCTGTCTGTTCGTCAGTCCGCCTTTCCGTCCGTCCGTATATATGAACGCAAGGATCTCAGAACCCATAAGAGCTAGAGAGCTTGAAATTTTAGGGTTCAGGGTATCCCCTAGTCGGGAGTTCCCGACTAGAACCTCTTGTTCTTATTATTATTATTATTTGCTATATTATATAAATTCTGTAAATCGGAATTTACAGAACATGTTTTATTTCTTGATATTTAACAAATTGTCAAACATGTTAAACCCTTATCATACGATTTATAAGAGTTATTTTTACTTTTTCTAAAAGAGCAGGTGCTAAGCAAAAAGTCCCCTGCATATAATTTAAATAGCTCATTTAATTTTATATTTCCATTTAAGTCGCTTTCTCAGCAACTTTAAAATAGATTTTCATGCACTTGCGAATTGTTTTCCTTTATTGTAGTCCCCCGCATTCTGCTCTCCCCACCCATCGCCCCGCTTTAATGCATTTTGAAATGCCAGCAACGTTGCGATCTTGTGACCGTGTGGATGCTGATTTGATTAGCTGCCTAATGGGGCAGCTAATTGAAATCCCAAAACGTTTGCCAATTCATAAATTTGTTAGCAACCAAAAAAGAGTGGGACAGACAGAGAGAGGGAGAGAGACGGGCGTGAGTCAGCGTCTCGGCCAACGGTGTTGGCCATTAAAATATTTTAGCCATAAGTATATAAATGTGATAATTAATTTGCATAATTTGAGCTGTGACTGGAATCTCTGAGCAGACAGTCAGAACAGACAAAAAGCCGACCGCCCGCGGTGCATGCACCACGGCGATCAATTAATGCCCAGTCATTCCTCCATTGCCAATGAATATGTTGCGGCATTATCATTGTTATGGTCCTGTTCAGCTGATAAAGTCGGGCCCAAAAGAATGTGGTTGGGCTTGAGTGGTACCGTTTTTCTTTTCGTTTGGTTTTGTTGTAGGCGTATGTCTAACACTGACCCTTGACCCTTTCCACCTGGCGCCAGCTTGATAAGCGGCAAGTGCTCAGCTAATGGCTTTTGATATGCCAGCAGACAACTTCATTTCCTTTCTAACTGCAATTTTCACTTAATTGAAGTCCAAAAATAGCCGGAAAATCTTCGGATAGAATCATAAAAGACGCTGCATGCGACGCGCCCTGCCACATTCTGTTGTCACATATGTCAAAATCTGTTGTCTAGCCGCGGGCGTAGAGGACCTTTGAAATGGCGTCAACATCTTTAACCGTATTTTGCAGACTTAAAGCGCCCCTTTTCGCATTTTGTTCACATTAACTCCCAACCCCACTTGATGCCTCATTTCATATCAAATTGGTGTAGCCGGCAGCCGGCGCGACATTTGGTCTGATTAATTTCTAAATTTAAGCGTCGACATTTGCCACATGGCACTTGGGTGAGTTTTCTTCGCTTTTTGTTTTGCTTGAGAAGAGTTTTTCGCTCTTTTGCTGGGCGCAACAATTTTAATTGCCTGACAAGCGAATTAATTCAATGTTGTTAATTGAATTTGATCTGCCGATGGGCAAACAACAAAGCGCTGCGGCGCATCTAAAGGCCAGAGAGACGCAGAGAGATCACAGTCGGGGCCTCAATCCTTTGTAGATGTTTTACATTTCTACCTAAACCATGAATAGTTGAAGTCTGCGACTTGTTTTGTTGTCCTTTTGTGCGGCTGTCATGTGGCATTCATAAAGTAGGCAACTTTATGGTCAGTGTCAGCGTCAGGGTCAGGGTCAGGGTCAGCGTCAGGCACAGTGTGCCGGCGTTTATCGATGGCCAACGCCGATAGCGAGCACATCCTGTGATAATGAGCACATTTATCTAACTATTTTAGATACAAAAGGCCACCGACAACAAGCAACACCCATTGCCAACTGTGTAGGTAGCCCTCAGGCATTTAGGCTTCTATTAAAATATGGTCATCTGGTTGGTTTTCTTGCTAAAGTTGGACTTGTTGTTTGTTATGCATATGAGAAACCATCAACGCAGCTATAAGATAGTTGCTGATCTCGATGATAGGGCAATTGAACGTTTTGTATAGGGATATTATGTGTTTATAAAATGCACAAAAAACAGCGTGTGATCTAAATTTAAAGCCTATCATAGTGTCTTGCTAAAGCCTAAAACAGACATTTATTTCTTCCATAGCTGCTAAGAAACTGTAAAGTAACTGTTAAATGTACAGCTGTTGACTTACATTGCCATTAACATACATACATGCCTAAGCTGTTTACATGGCAGTAAATGACAAGACTTGCTAACATAGTACTGTTACTTAACATTTCTTTAACATAACATATCATTCTCTCTAAAGTGAGCATATAAGCGTATTTATATGGTGTCTGTTTTATAGCCAAATAATTTAATTCTAGTTCTCAACTGTTACAGAAAGACTTCACCGACGACTGTGTATTCAACGAGAATGTGGAGCTGCATAATTACAACACATATTCCTCCACATACAACTCGAATTCGAGGCGAAAATTCTATTTGGCGCTTAATCGTTATGGTGCGCCGCGTCGTACGCAAATTCCGGCCACCAGGACATTGGGCAAGCTGTCCACGTACACGAATGCGATCACCGAGACGGTGCCGCAGGAGCGCGTCGAGCAGCTGATAGCCAAGAATTTTGGGGCCAATCGCGTCCAGCATGGCGTGCGCCAACTCTGTGATACCGGCAAGCCGCTGATAGAGCTCATCGACGCGGCACACTTCACGCCGCGACCCAAGTGCAGCAGCAGCAGTGGCAGTAGCAGCAGCAGTAGCAGCAGCAGCAGTAGTAGCAGTAGTGTTCCTGAGCCTGAGTTCAGGTCCAGCAGCCTGCATAGTATTAGTAACAATAGTCAAAGCGACAACGGCCATATTAGCAGTAGCATTAACAGTAACACTAGCACTAGCAGTAATATTAGCAGTAGCATTAACGGTAGCAATAGCAGTAAAATGAACCGGCCCAAGAAGAAAAAAAACCAGCGCAAGTGCCGACCAAATGATGAAAATTGCCTGAAGCGGGTCGCGGCCGCCGGTGCGGGTGCGGGTGCTTTGCGCAAACGCGGCCCCAAGGGTCAAGGCGGCAAGAAGTCGCCTGGGGCGGCAACAGGCAAGCGCACACACGCAGCAACAGGCGCCAACAAGGGCACACAGCAAAAGCCCCGGGCCCAGGGCAACGCGGGTGGCAAAAAAAAGCACCCCAAAGGCGCCAAGGCGCGGCCCAATGCGGGCGGCAAAAAGCAGCAAAGAGGCAACGCAGGAAAACGCCTTGTTACAAAGAGGTTGCAGCGCTTGCTAGAGCTGAGCAGCACGACAACAACAACAACAGCGGCAACAACAACGAGCAGCAGTAGCAGCAGAATGGCCAGCAGCCTCGCAACGCCGAGTGACAGCTGGGAGAGCAGCTCGCCCCTGCCGGCGCTGGCGCTCAGCGAGACCAGCGATCGGGTCGAGCGCAATGTGCGCATGCCCCCAGCCAGCGCTGAGGAGGACCTCGACGAGGAGGAGCACGACAACGAGCCAGAGACGGACTCGGAGGAGGAGAGCAGCGACGAGGATGCACGTAGCTCCGCTGGAGACGATTCGCTCTACTACGATCAACTTGATTTGTGAGTTTGCCTAAAAACAAATTATAAAATTTATATAAACAAAAAACAAAAATCTATCTTAACTTTTCAAATTTTCGACTTTTTCAAAATTAAAAAAAAAAAAAAATAAACAAAATTTTTAACTTATCAAATTTGTTTTGGCATACTATTTTTTTTATCTAATTGGCATTAATTTTTGACCTTACATTTCTCACATTTTGTACCGTTACGAAATTATTTTCACATCTAATTTATTTTTGGTTGTTGTTTGTTTTTTTTTTTAACATTAATATCTAATATTTTCTTCTATTTTCCAAATTTCTACTACTCGTTTAAATTGGTATTTAATAATATTTTGATATAATTTGTGGTATTTTGAAACGTACAAAGTGTGGAAATTTGTTTAATTGATAATAATTTTGATTTATTTTGAAGGCATTTAAATGGAATTGCAAAGAAAACATAATTATTGGGATTGTATGTAAACCCAGTATATGATTAAGAAATCGAGCAGGATCCTGTAAAAAGTTTGGCTTGAGTATGCAATATTGTAATTTGCAAGTTTTCAAGCATACAAACGCACTCACACACACACACACACATACACACACACACGCCAACAAACGAATTACACTGCACAACACATGCATACACCACATCACTTCTACACTTCTGTATGTACATCATATATATGACATCATAAACCCAACGACTGTGGTTCAAAGAAGTATTTTTGATGCAGCTCACAAAATGATATCGGTAGCTATCGATATATTTTGCGTGCATGCCTAAACAATGGAAACTATCAAGAAACAGAAGAATATCAACATAAATAAATGTATTACAAACGGAGTCTCGAGTATTTTTTTTTGTTTTTGGTTTTTATTTTAAGAACTTTTCCGTTGGCACCGAACCATCATGCAAATGTATAAAACAAATATCAAATAGCACGCTCATATTATATTTTATTATAAATATTTTTTACTAGCCAAATATATTTAGTCATGCATTATTTTATTTATACTACTTTCGAAATACTTGAGTCTCTGATAAAAAACTATTCAACAGATAACATGAATAATACTCAAAAATACGACCACTCAAAACCTAAAAAAGCTCAACCGTCTTGCAAACTTGCAAAAGCAAAATATGTATTCCTTATAAAAAATAATATTATAATATATGCCTTGTAATATATGATATATTATAATATTATATAATAACAACAAGAGTCTATTTGTATGTGTAAAATGTGACAATTCGAATAGTTCGCATGCGAAATTTGTTTTGTAAATAGTTTTACGATTATGATGCGTCAGTTGATTATGATTACCTATACCTACTACATGTGCATATATATATATATATATATATATATATAAACATATATATTCAATTTTATGTGGTATTGTCGAATTCGAACCTCGCTGCCTCTCAGTGCGTAGTGTAAGCCATGTAAACCATTCTTAAGTGCGGCAACAACGAAAATTAATATAATCCCAAAAGCCATAAACGAAACATTGAAGCCAACGACAAAAGAAAAACAAACAAAAAAAAAAGAGCTCACAAATCAATGAATTGTATTTTAATTAATAGTTTAGACTAACCTGTAATTATTTTATTTATTTGCTACGAATACGATAAATGTGCGTAAAATTAAATGATATACATTTAATTTACAAATAATATACTTCTTAGGTTATTAATTTATTATATTTTACTTTACAAAAAAAAAGGAACAACATTTATTTATACATTTTAACTATTAAGCTTTATCTTAAAACTGTAGACTAACAAATTTTTTAGTTATACATAAATTTACGCATTAAAAATTCTACAATTACTGCGCTGCAGCGCAACGAAAACAGCATGAAAAACAAAATATTACAACTAAAAAATAAACAAAAATAAAATTAAAATTATACAAAAATTAATATGAACAATTTGTTTTTGCAACTAAGTGGAAACGAGCATTAATAAAAAAAAAATAAACAGAAAATAATATTTTAATGGTAAGCGTGGCGTAGTTAGTTAAAAATTAGTTAAAACGTGATATAACATATTTTAGTTGGGTTTAGCATTGTTTACTTGCATGGTTTTTCAAAATTATTAAATATTTAATTCATTTTGGCATTTTGCACGTAACAAACACACAAAAATGAAATGCAAACTACAAAATTCCACAATAATATTTGACTTTTGGCATGCAATTCATTTTTATGCCCAAAAAAAAAAAAACAAACAAATTTCTAAATTTCCCCATCCCCAAAATCTTATTTAATACATTTTCTATGCACTTACAGCCTCCAATTGTTGTTCCTACAGCTGCTGCTGATTATGCTCTGGCTACAGCCGAGTACCGCCCTCTGAGTTGGTTAACTGGGAATATACAAGTATCTAGACGTACCACCGAAACGCACAAGCTATAGTTCCTGATCTAATTTATAGGCCTAAGTTTCTATTCAAAATTGTATACATAAATATATATATACGTACTATAAAACCTAAAGTATAGTTGTTAGATATAGGCACTTTTTGTTTAGCTTAAACACAATTTCTATTATTTAAGACTGAAGACTATGAAATTATAAGAGAGAAAATGGATAATCAAATTGCATGAAATAAATTATACTATGCTTAAAACATTCTAAAAATATTAATGAACGTTTAATTTTATCCATCATTTTTTCATTGGGTTAATCTCTTAAACGATCTATAGATGTTTCGTGCCCGAGCCACTTAGTTTGCTAAAAATTTATGCGTTTAGCTGCTTATTTTTTTGGACCAGTAAAACTCTCGGCTCCCGCCTCCAAGGCGGGACGTTCAGTTTTTTTTTCTATAAACAAGCAGCGGGCGGTGGGCAAACTGTTTGTTGTTTTAATTGAACTTCACTAGATGCAGCAGTTTTTTCTCTAACTATATTTTAGGCACTATTTGTTGGTTTTCATGGGCCATCTTTATGTGATTTATTTGGCATGGAATACCAAGCAATTTGTCTGGCAGTACGAGCAACTGGCAGCCAAGTATTATCAGCAACTGCGAGAGAGATAGATACAGCAGACACTATCGCTGTTAAGTAATCTCTCATTCTCTCTCATTCTTTCTCTGTCAGACGATTGTCAAAGACCTTTTGCCGTAATAGCCAGACGCTAGCACGTGTGGCAACAGGCAAGATCATGTGGTGTGCGAGCAGCTGGTGCAATTGCTATTGCGAAAAATAACGCATACGTAGCGTGTGCTATAATTGAATAAATAATGGTGAGAACAATTACGATTTGAGCTCAAATTACGACAAACATAATATACAGTGGGCGACAAATGCCTAACGAACGCCCCCTAGCACAAAATGTCAAGTGCGGAGACTCTGCACCCACCGTCATAGACCCAGACCCAGTTCCATACATACATATGTGAGACAAGTCACGTAGGCCTTGAAATGGCGAAATTGTGACGACAACTGCTGCTGTTGCCGATTGCTCAGGTTCCCACATTCACATTCATTCATTCAACGCTGCTGAAATATTCGCATGAATAGACGAAACACGAGGCAATTGGCAAACGGAGCAGCCATCACACAAAGCTCTGCAGCACTTGGCAACAGAACAGACTTTGCGGGAGCTGAACGCGAATCGTGAGCTCTGACGTGTCACGAATCCGCAGGACCTCTAAACAATAGTTAAGTGTTGGAAAACAGGATTTGTTGTCGGATAATTTTGTATCTGATTGATTTGACTAAACATAGCCGAAAACGAATTAAACAAAAACTTACTCGATCGTGTTCACGTTGGCTACTATAACAAGAAATAATGCAACATCCCACAAAACAAAACTACTTGGCCTAAATGTGACGTAGCAAAACATTGTTAGAGAGGCACCAAAAAAAAAGCCTTAAAAATTATAAAAACGAATTTAATTTTCCAATTATATCCACTAACTTCGTTATATATATATAAACGTTTCTTAGTGCATTAACTTTCAATAAATTGTTTTAAAAAAATATATATAGATATTCAAAGCAAATGTTTACTTAATAACAAAAACATTTGCTTTGAAAGCGCGTTCGCAAATTATTTTTCGTGCACATCGTGTCTGTGTTTACTATGCCGTGCCGCTGCCATCTTTAAATTTGCAGACGCGAAAAAAAAAAACATAAATCAGCATAAAGCATAAAGTTCGGTGACGTCGCAGTCGACGTCGCTCGGCACGCGCACTTCCACAAATTTGTGAAAAAAGAGAAGAAAAGAAAAACAAAAAATTTGCCACTGCTTATCAGGCAATTCTGATGATCACAATGACACGGCGAAGGTGCCGGCGTTTCCTTTCTCCACCGCTCTCGCTCTCTCTCCCCCTCTCACACTCTCTGTTCCGCTGCCACTGAATGCGCATTGTGCTGATAGTAAGCAATCTTGGATGTCGCTGATTAGAGGCCAATGGAAGTTCAAAAAAGAATCCGCCGGCTGTTTGGCTTTCACTTGTGCGTCGTCAGCTGATCGAGCCCCGTTGTATATTTTGTCTAATTGGAATATTGTTTAAGAAACGGAAGAAGACTTGGTATTCCCTTTTTGTGAAGGTTATCAGGGGTTATTTTGAAACAGTTTTTATGTGGCATTTTTTGCAATTGCTCTAGGTCGCGTTTCCCTTGCATTTGTATAGATAATTAATAGATTTTCGATAAGATAACTAATGCACACCCATATATTTATAGATATCGATTCGCTTAATGAAGTGGGGAATAGAATCAAGTAAATAATTTGCTATTAGAAATATACAAATTTATTTAATTATATTTTCTGAGTATTATTTAAATACGCTTAAAGTTTTACTCACTATTTTATTACCAAGCTTTCCCCCCATTTTTATAGACAACCCGCTTTGTTATATAATATACGAAAATTGGACTTCAGAGCAAGAAAACATTCATAAATTTACCATTTGAGATATTTGTTGAACAAAAAGATGTAGAAAATGGATTTTTTTAAAATTATTATTTGTCACTTTATTATCAGAAAAGTAATAATAATTTATAAATATTCGCACATTTTTTTTTACATTAGGGTATTCAAGTTTCGGTTTTTACGATATTGACTTAGTCGCTTGGGTTTATGTCTACGTCTGCAATCGATTGTTTATTTTATTTTCTACAGCTTTATGGTTATTCGAGTATATCAGTTTTGATTTTCAGTTTATGCATGGCTGTTACTCTGTCTACGTGACGTAAAGAGAATACACCGTTTTGACTGAATCACACGCAACAGGTAATGCCCCCGGCTGCAGCAGCAGCAACAGCTGAACTTCAATTATTTAATGGCAATGTCAATGCCATTAATAGAAGGCGAATCTAATGGGGAGTCCACATGGTAGATAGCACGTTTAGACATTAGACCTGTGGAAACTGGTCACAGGCCGGATATCGGTACTTGAAATCTTTCATTGACCTGATTTCATTTGACTGAAGGGGGCATCTATCAAACTTTCGATTTTCCGCATTTCTTAAATGCTTGTTAAACAGATAGATGAAAATAAGCTATTTGAAATATTCGGGCATTTTAGATAGTTATGCTATCTTTGCTTACAAATTGTTTATTCAATAAATTTAAATAAAAGATTACTTTTGAAAAACTTGATAATTTCTTTTTTTCTGTTTGCTTGGAAATTCTTCGACTACAATTCGTTATACATTTACTTTTCCGCTTAAGTTAATATTTTGACATTTACGCAAGAAGTGTTGTAAAATATTATGAAAAGTGTTGAAAATTGACAGAATTCCAGTTAAATTCAATTAGATTTTAATCAACGCAACATGACGGAAATGTCAGCATTTTTCACGATATTCGTTTGGCTGCCCCCTCCATAGGTTGTCTTTCTAGTTCATGGCCTGCATTTGCGTGAATATGATGAATATGCTTAATTGGATTAGCGTCGGCGACTTCTGCCCTGGCTTCTTTTACTCTTCCTGCTCGGAGCAATGGGTGTACAGCCGGGAAACAAGCAAAAGCTAAAGCTGAAACCCGATTGCATAACATGCCAGTTCGGGTTTTGGGTGAGAAGCGTGTGAAAGTCGCCATTTAGAAGCATTTAAATTGAGTTGAGCTGTAGCCAGCATAATTTCTAAACCAAATAATTGGAAAGTGCTGGGACAAAAATATCAGAGCATCTTAATGGCTTGTCAATCCAAAATGGAGTAAATATAAAGGGATTAAAAATATATAAACATGACAAAAAAAGAGAATCCCTTGGAGATGCGGGGCATCGATCCCCGTACCTCTCACATGCTAAGCGAGCGCTCTACCATCTGAGCTACATCCCCTTGTATATACACTGCAGTTGAGTTGCTACTTAACAGCTTTTCCACTATTAAAGACGGTTCAAAATAACATAAATAATCGGGCCCTTGATAAATTCCGCCAAAAGCTCTTGTATCTAAAGCTTTAAGCTTTCAATAGATATTTTGCATTTTAAATAAAATATAATTTTCTTAACGAAAAAAAGTTTATTATACACTTTTTGTTTAATATTAAAAAACATTTTTTTTTATCAAAAATTATTTATCTAAAGTTTAAAAAAGAATTGTTCCCGCCCGGGTTCGAACCGGGGACCTTGTGCGTGTGAAGCACACGTGATAACCACTACACTACGGAAACCTGTATGGGAAGCACAACCAAACGATGTTGAGTTTACGAATGCAAGCAAAATGATTAAGTAAATCCTCTTGATTACATTAGAAAAATTTTATAAGCCCCGCAAAATAAACACATACATTTAAAGGAAAACGTGTTTCTGGGCTTCGTAAGAGTACTGCAATTTTAAATATAGCTATGTCTATAAGACAGAACTTTATATTGGAAATTTGAATGCCAAATCTGTCAATAAAGCCCATTCAATTTTAAAGTGTACCTTCTACCACCAATTCAACACCAATTTAATAGAACATTCCGTTTCCGCTATGGGTGGCATGCGTTGAGTGCACTGCCCAATAAACGACGCTGGGGTTAATAAATGGAAACCATAAAAGTGTCAGGATTGGAAGTCATGCAGGGGCTGACATTGGCGGCTCGTTAAACAGTTGAAATTGGTGCGTGTGTGCCGAGGGTTGTCTGTTTATAAATATAATACACACCTAAATGATCGTAAAACGAGGCTCATTAAAAGGGAATAAAACTACCAAAAGGTGCATGCATGGGAGTTGGCACATAAATATGTACATTTACACGTGTTGATATTGACGTTGCTTGCGTGTAAGCTGGCCCAAACACGCATGAACTTGATTTCAAGGAAAATAATTACACATGTAAGCACCTAAATATAACTCAAAAATTGCGTGCAAAAATGATTATAAAAAAATTAAGACTTGTTCCCGCCCGGGTTCGAACCGGGGACCTTGTGCGTGTGAAGCACACGTGATAACCGCTACACTACGGAAACACTTGAAGACATTGCCACCTAAAACTTAACTCGTAAGTTGCCGTCGCGATAGGGAAAAACGATTCACTTTTTCCTGCCAGCAATTAATCAGCGTTTAATTTGCATATTTTCCAAATAGGAAAATTAATGACAGCGCTAATAGACGTGAGCTTTATTTATGGGCATTGCGATAAGCAGAGGAGTAAAAGTGTTTGCCTTGCCGAGCGAGACAGGCCGGCAGCTAAGACCATGCTATTAGATTTAGGTATTTGTATATTATTTCTTAAGGTCTTTGAACTTGCTAGTAAAAGCAGTCTTCAAAATGCATTTATATACATACACATATAGTGCATGTGTGTGTACTTACATACATGCGCATGAGTGTGTGTGTCATGCGTGCGCAACAAGTGAATTTGAGATTTTGGTATAAATTAGCCGGCATGCTGAATATTTATATTCACTCTTAAAAATCGAACACTTCACAGTTTGCCTGTGCAGCAAACGCTCTTTTATAAACACTTGTTTCATTGTTATTTACAATTGCATTTACAATTTACACTGTGACTGCGCGATGCCATTTGACTTTGACGTGTCACTGAAGAAAAATAAAAAAAAAAAAACAATGTGCACCGCTACCCGCCAAAAGTGCAAAGCAAAAGCGGGAAGAATAATTACCGTTTTGTGTCATCAATATATCGATTATCGTAGCAAAATTGGTACTTTTAGTAATTGATGCTACATTGTTATTTTAGTTTATTCATAAATGCCAATTCATTTTATCAATAAGTTTATTATTGTTTTTAATGTTCTTTATATTTTATATATAAGTTAATGGCGTGTTAAAGACTGCAAACGCACATATGTATCTAATTGCATTGGTACATTTTATTAATTGCTGGGACATTTTAATTTTGGCAAGTGGCAACCGCAGTGCTGCCAGCGTTGCCAGCTGGTATGTTGTTGCGTTGTCTATGTTCGCGCGCGTCTTTTGTGAAATAGTTGTAGTTTATAATCTAAATGTGTTTTAAAAAGTGTGTTTTAATAAATATTGATTAGTTTGTTGCATTGCCAAACGCTCTTGTTGATAGCCGCCGCTGGCTTATCAATGCGACGACGCACAAGCCCACACAAAATTCAAGGGCACAAAGCCGCCTACGGCCCAAAAAGGAAGGCAACTATCAGAGGCTCCCTTCCGCGATGTGTCCAGCGAGGCTTAAAATAAACAATTGGCAATTAGTTAGGGCCAAAAACTCTTGCAAATTCAGGTGGCCCACTGATAAGCCATAAGTGTGTGTGCGTGTGCGTGTCTGTGCATGGACACCCGCAAGCCAAACGGGCTGCAGCCATGCCCATGGCCGATACAAGTGACAAGTGAACATGGAAAACTAATTTATGTGTGTGGGGCGCATGGGAATAGGTTGTTGCAGCCAAACTGGTAAGCAGCCTAATATATCTTCTATAAATACATATAGACATATGTATTTATGTATATACACATATGTCGGTTATATATGTAAAGAATCGGTTATGCCAATGTCTCTCAATGAAAGTTACAGCGACATTTGCGGAGACCTTGACCGCATCGCAACGGTAATATGAAACCGCTAAGAAAAATGGTACTTTATAACAGGCCAAAAGTGATTGCAGCTATGCTAACAACATTTTGCTCTTAACAAGTTTTTAAATACCCTTTAAGAGGGTAATCTAATTTATTCACGCAATGTGCAACGTGCATTCTTTTAATCAGCTTGAAAGGACAGGCCGTGTCCGTCTTCCAGGTTTCACGTAGCTGCGACTTTTTGCAGCAGGCGCTGTATACCTCAAGGCCGACCGGATCGGACTACTATATCATTTATCTGCTAAAGCAAATATCAGTCGAGCATTTAGTTTTAGTGCGCAAGATATATCAGTTGAACTCGGCAAATAGGAGCTTTACTTGCCTCCTAGTGTATAGGAAAAGTCGTATCACGATCGGATTGCTATATTGTGTAGCTGTCTTTATACAAAAATCGGCTTAATTTTTCAAAATATCTTGAGCAATTTGTTTATTTCGTCTTACAGTCGGGCGAGAATAAGGTTTTCCTATAAAAATATTAATTAATTACCTATCTGCAAGGGTATTAAATATTCGTTAAACCAAAATTGACTGGGCTTATTTTTTTTCTTAATCTGGCCTGCGGCTCTGGGGACGTGTTAAGGAACTGCTGTCTATCGCAGCATCTGCGATATGAGCAACAAGTTGGCCGGTTTCATCTTGGCCCTGGCCAGCAGGCATAAGCCATATCACTTGTTGCTCTTGCTTATTACTGACCAAGTTATGCTACAGCAATGTGTCATGTTAGCCCGTTGGCGACTGCAGCTTGGCAATATGTTGGCTGCCCCTCGCCACAATTTTCACACCTCCCACAACGGGGGGCTGTGGCGCAAAGGGGCAGACTGACTACAGCCGCTGCAGGCGCCAGGCGAACCAAAACAGCTGGCTAGCCTGCCAGTTGGCCACATCAGCCTTCACATTGATCTTAGCTACGGTGAGCTTTCTCACTTTTGTGCGCCATACCCATTGAAAATGGGCAAATGGGGTATATTGCAGTTGTGCAAATGGTTTTTCAACTTTCTGTGTAGTAGTGTAGTAATTTATATCTAGGCTTGGAGCAGACAAATTTTGCGTTTTAAAAAATAGCAACTAGGTTTTTTAACATCGATAAATATCGTTTCTCAGCCTTCTGTTTTTGAGTATTTTTCAGCTTTATATATCCAATTATGCATTAAAGTTATTGCATAAGCAGAAAATTGTATTTATTTTAAAAATAACTAATTTGTTCTTCAAAAATATAAATATCGTTTTGCAAACTTCTTTTGTTGAAGAACTTTGAAGGTTCTTGTATTGAATCACTAACCGAACAACATGCGAGGGAATAAAAAATATACAGCGATGCCCGTCTATCGCTAAACTTATATGTATTGCTTACTCTCTTGCTCCCTGAGCGCGCGAGCGTGTCGCGAAACGAAGGCGACTTTGGACCAGCCGCACAGAAAACGAGAGGCCCCATTGCCGTCCTCTTATTGTAAAGTCTATATGTTATTTGGTTTGTGATTGAATACATAGTTTTATTACATTTTAAGTTTGGATTGTGTTTCCCAAAAATCAACGAATCTCTCGCTCTAAAGTACATTAAAATATTTATCGTTTTTTTGGAAATGTTGGTACCGGGTATCTTCCGGTCGTGCATTCTGCGCCTGGAGGCCTCTTGTTCTCTTTGCGCTTGTCTTTGTCCAGCCACGGCTAGCATCTTCATCTTTATTAATCGCTACATTTATTTGATTATCTTACCCGGAGACGGCTCCTTGGCTGGGGAGTTGACTACTCGATGAGATTTATGCCTTGGCCGTGTTATTTACGCGCTAATCATGCAACACTTTTCATTTTGACACGTTCGGGCGGCTCTCATAAAAGCACCGCCAGCGGTAATTATGTAAATTTTCAGTTGCTGTCGTTGTTGTTATTGTTGTTTCCTTACAATGACCATGGCCGGGGGCAAGCATTTTATGATCTATGCTGGCCGATTCGTGCTTAGAAATGAACACAAATTGATAAAAGCAACAACAGCCCCGACCGAGCAACGAGTTTCGAACACTATTTTTATAGCCCAGCATCGATCGATCGTCTCCATTCTCGATCGACCCGTTTGTTTTCACTGGCGAACACGTCGCTAACATAAATTAACCAGCCCGGAGTTGCAGTTGGGGACCGAGACGGAGACGACAACGGAGCCGATGATGAGGCGTAAGGATCCGCAGACTGCGGGTAACGCTCTGAAATTCCAGGGAAAATGCGCCGCGTGTTTTGACACCAAACATCCGCCCTAAGCCGCACTCGCATTAGCTTGCGTCAAGGGGCAGATATCGGGCAGGGTACCCGCTTGATGGCGGGGTTGGGGGCTACGCTCCACGTTGAGATGTTGATCTTGTTAGCCGTTGCCGCTCATGCGCATGACTGCAATTTAAGCGCCATAAATTGTGTGTTCTCAACGTTCTCCCATGTCGTTGGCAATGTGTCAAAGTTGTTATGCCAATGATTATATAGGGTATTCAAAATCGGGTATATTATTAGATCTAGAATTTATGCAATTCATCAATTGGTAGTTGTACTTTTAAACTAATTTGTAATATTATATATTATCAAATCTCCACTCACACTGTACAGGCAAAAAATTTATATATATGTTCATGTAATCATAATTTGCTACGCAGATAATTCCAATTTAAATTTTCTTTTGGCTCAGCTGGCGGCTTGAACATATTTAGCTTCTATTTATGAACCCGAATTTCCACATTCATTTGCCCAAGTCTTGGCTCGAAATTCGCCACACCAGAGGAAATTCCGTCTTGAGTCTTAATATTAATGGGCATGTAGGGTATTTGATAAAATATTGTTGGCTATGTGGATACTATTATACTACATATACATTGTGTTCTTAAACTACTTTTCAAAAATTTACATTCCTTTAAGACCACATTCCACGTCCTACGGTTAGGCAACATATTCAAGACTAATCTATTATGATTCCTAACCATAGTTCCACAGATATTCTCTCAATTTTTAAACAATTAGATTTATAAGGAAACTCTTTACCTGACTCGAAGTAGCACTCGACTTTGAATTATTTATTCAGTTGATTAATCGCCATATTATTTATTTATTATTTTAATTTTCATAGTTTAGCAGCTGCACCAAGTCAAAAAACATGTTGTTTTAAATCGTTTTCAGTCCATGGTTAAATTAGCTTAAGACAGTATGTTGTATAAACAATTGCCCATTGTTAAATGTTTGCCCGTTTTGCCACGTTTTTTGATGGTCAGCTGGCGTTATCTTCTGTAAAATGCTTTCTTGATCTCGCTAGAAGGTGTGCCTGAAAATGTAGCATAAACTAAGTGCAGCTGATTTATGAAAATTCAAATTTTTACCATGAAAACGTTTTTCCATTGCACGCAAACATTTCGGCCAATCGCTGTAGTTATAAATATAGAAAGCAATCAGAAGTGGGCCGTGAAACGATGTGGAGCTAAGACAAGTCCTCAAATGGTTAAAAAGTTTTTTGTAAAAATAAGTCATTTTTTCTACTATAAAAATTTAGTCGTAGCTTAAAATTTGTAATGGCATTTAACGCCTAGGATAACCTAAAAAAAAAATACAATCTTTGTAGGGTATATGCAAACCGATCTGTCTTCCTCGAACAAGTCTATTGCCGGCCAGCACTTTCATTTATGAGACGCTGCGTTAGATGACTTAATAGGATTTTTCTATTGAGCTAATAGTGTAGAAGCACTAGGGGGTACAAAAAACTGCTGGGCTCTTTGCTTTGACATATGCAAATGGTAAAACTAATTAAACAATCCTTCAAACAGCATAGACGACAGGTATAAATAAGTTTATACGGCCACAACAATATTTTATATAATGCAATAACATTTACTTACACGTTAATTATGGTCAGCCCATATACTATATAAACTATATAGATAGTAAAATCAGAAACAGCAGCTGTTGTCGTATGTGTAACTGACAAGCTGGTCGACAGTAGGTAATGAATTAATCAGCAAGAGCTGGGTTCAGAGTTCTGATCTATGCTGCGATCAGTGATCGTAGATAGCGGTTTGTAGATATGATCGATCAGAAATCATTCGCTGGCATTTAATTATACATAGACACACATTATTCTAAGTGGCATTACTGACAAATGATAATTGGTATTTGCATGACAATTAGAAACGCTCGACGATCTCACTCTCTTTGAACAAGATCAGTCGAGTTAAGCCGGGTTAACCAAAGCTGGGCTCAGGCGCCAGGCAGCTTTGAAATGTTGCCCCTGGCGTACCGAGACTAATTCAATTGGCTACGTCTTGCACTTCCTGCATATTTGATACGCCTGAACAGGCAGTGGCCGCGATCATGATCATTAACAACAGGAACAACAGCCACATGATCGCTGGTAAGATCAGTGACAAATGTCTCTCTAAATGCCCGAATAAAAGAAGAAAAAAAAAATACCAATGCGATTGTATTTCATGAACTTGACATTGGAAACAACATCCTCGCGGCTGTCAATCAGCTTAAGAGCGCCTGATTATTATCAACGATCCTTTGCGATCCGAAATAAAATCAATTTTGTTCTTAAGTGGCTGTTTAATTGTTGTCGCTGCTGTTGCTGCTGCTGTTGTTGTTCCAGCAGGGCGTATCCAAACATTGAGTTTATTTTTAGGGTTTGCACCCAAGCGGTGCTCATGATTCACACCGGGTGTGGGCAGGGGGCCAAGCGTATCCAATTGCAATACTGACAAGATCACGTACAAAGTACAACTTAGCTTAGCTGTCAATCAAATGTTATATACGATCAGTTTCAGCAGAGGCATACCCCCACGCATTTTATCTATTCAAAGGTTAAAGGGTTGTTGAACTGAAATGCGACTAATCAGTGGAGCTCTGAATTTAGATGTCAGCGAGGGTTGACGGATTGATGCATTAATAGTAAACGGTTAATCTACTTAACTCTACTTAAGATACAAGGAATACTCTTTATTATTTTTAACAGCATCTCAGTGGGCTTCGGATAAGTCATTTCTACATCCCTGAGTTTCAAACTAGGTTCCTCATTGTGCACTTGGCTTAATAACTGGGCCAGTTCGACAATTCTTCAGGTCATTCTTAAATAGTTCTGTTAACATGCGTGTGATGGGTTTTTCTCCTATATAGAGAACTTTTTATATACCCCTAATAAAATCATAAAGAAATTCTCATTTATTGTTAGAAAGACTTCAGCTCTTTAACATAGGCTGTTAAGCTCGCAGAAAACAGAGTGTTAACAAACTTGACTCTCAGCTGATATCATTGGAAGCTCTACAGCTCTTAAAGAGTTTCTTAAAACATCACGAGAGTTTATACAAATCCCTTAATTTCCCAATTAATAAAATTTCGAAGGGTTGTCTCTCAGCTGATATTGTAGTTGGATACTGTACAGCTCTTAATATACCTATCTCATATTATAGACTATTCTTTATTTGTTTTATTTTTTTTATATGTTTATTGTATTGAATAAAAAATTACAACACAGTCAACTTAGGGGTATTTCGTCTTATTGTGGACAAACGTCAAAAGTGTCTTCTTTGAATAGGTCTGCATCGTCACTTAGGTAGTCGGGCGGCTCTGGAGCGTCTCCTGTCGTGGTGGGAGGAGGTCCTTAAAGGATCTAAGGATCTTAAAGGATAGTCTATTAATAGATGTTAAAGGTTTAGCTCTTAGCTTGTATATTAATCGAAAGATCCGGTAAAGAACTAGACACTCTCTGGTTATTTAGGATCTCTTCAGTGCTTAAACATACTGATTAATTGTACATTTTTTTTCTGGCCATATATCGAAGTTAGTTCTTCGTTCCACCGTCGCTTTGTGCCCATTGCCCATTGGTATTTGGTTGCCAACATATCGCTATTGTTAGCTAATCATTTCTAGATAAGCACATGATAATGCCAAAAAAATACAAAAGCACAAAGCCAAAATGAATACTTGCGACTATCTAAAGCAACTTTTGGCCGGCAAGTGTTTCCGATGCCTTTCACCAAATGATTGAATGCTAGAATGTGTGAGTCATTTAATAAATAAAATGCCTAAACGCTAAGACTTAGAGCCAAAATATAAACAATTAATGTCCATTGCGATGGTCGGTCCACTCTTTGCCCAACGCCTGGTCTCTGGCCTGTTGACGCAGCACCTTGCCGCTGCCCGTCTTGGGCAATTCATTCAAAAAGAACACACCACAGTGAAGCTGCTTGTGGGTGACCACCAGACGCTTGGCCACATATTCCACAATATCCATTTCGGTGAGCCGACTGCCGGGCACCTTAACAACTGCAGCAGCAGCGGGATCACCGTCCACCTCGTTCCACAGGCCAAAGACACACGCCTCAATCACATCCGGCAGCTCGGCTATGACCTGCTCCACTTCGTAGGGGCAATATTGTGCGCCATGAAAGCGCAGCATGTCCCGTTTGCGTTCCACAATGTGCAAGAAGTTCTCGTTGTCAAAATAGCCCATGTCGCCGGTATGGAACCAGCCCTGATAGTCCTGCATGCGTTTTGATTCATTCGGATTGCCATAATAGCCATTCCATACTTTGCCATTGTGCACTAGAATCTCACCCGTTTCGCGGTGCCCCAAGCTGCGACCGGCGTCGTCCAGTATTTTCACCTTAACGCCGGGCACTATTCTGCCCACTGATGAGGGCTTGGCCACGCCCATATTTGCCGCCACACCGCCGCATTCGGTCAAGGCATAGCCATAGGAGATTTGACCATTCAACAGATATTCCTGCAGCTTTAACAGATTGGCCACATAGCAATTGCCGCCGCCAATGCTGATGAAGCGCACGCTGGCCAATCTCTGTTTGCTGAGCGTGGGCGCTTTCAGCAACGAGGCCGCCTGCTGGGGCGCCACGGTCAGCAGCGTGACCTTATATTTCTCGATCAGTTGCAGCATATATTCGGGCGTATAGGCGCGATCGGTGATGACGCGCGTCGAGCCATGGCAGCAGCTGAAGAGCATGTTGAACATACCCGGCGCCCAGTCGATCGTGCTGAACGAGAGCAGCACATCCTGGCCGGTGACAAAGCTGTAGAGAAGGAGTATTAATTAGTATCTAGCTGCTAGGAAATTTGGTTTTCAGAACGCTTACCCAAAATCGAACAGGCAAGCGGAGTTTGAAATACAAACCGCCTTGGGCAATCCCGTCGTGCCGGAGGTGCAGAGTATAGCCACGGTTTGATCGCCGCCCAGCATCAGTGGCTCTGGTCTGTAAGCATAGAATAAGGTTTAACAACGTATTTGGGATAAAAGAAATTAACTGCAATACAAAAAAAAAGTGTGTTCTTTCAGTCAAGGAAAACAAGTCTTGAAATAGTTTTTAGCACAAATTTCTACAGATCGTAGCAAATACTTAAAAATGTTATATATCTGATTGAAATAGAGTTTGAATAGCTTTCGTAATAGAGATAAAAATGAATAAGAGTTATGTATAATTATCTCTTGCTTTGATCTGAATTTGGGTATAGTTGGATTTTTCTTTGGGTTGTTTATTACTGGCTGGAATGAATTTCAATGTTTTTAAAGAACTTTTTATTAAAAAAAGACAAAATTACATTGAAATATGCTTCACTTAAAATAAGACTATTTAATGCACAAAATGTATGCTTTAAATTTTGTACAGTCAAATCGTCATAATTTAAAAAATTTATCCAGAATTTAAAAATATGTTTTGGAAAATGGAAAAAAGCATATTTTTCATTTATAAATTAAGCACACTTTCTTAAAGTCTTGTACATTTTATACATATGTCAATATAATATAGCTTTTTACTTATTTCTTCTCGAGTACTTTGAGGAAAAAACACTTTTCAAAAATATTTTCTGACCAACAATTTCCATAGAATACTTTGTTATAGGAGACAGAATATCTTCATGTTTTCTAGAAATTTCTTTTTTTTTTTATAAACTGAAGACAATATTGTTTCTTTTTTGTTTTATGTGTGTATTTACTTACATATAGTACAATTCCTGTTTAGTAGGCTCCAGGAGATCCTCAATGCGCGGCAGTTGGATTCGATGATCCTTGAGCGTATAAACGGGCGCCTTTAGCATTTTGGCAATGGCGCTGAGTCTGTCATAGACGGTGCCATCGCAAAAAATGATGCGCGGTCGGGTGATACAAAACAAATGCTTGAAGGTGGCCTCATCGTGCCAGGGGCTGACAGCATGAAAGGGTGTGCCATTGAGGAGACAGCCCAGCACCACTGGCATCAGATATGTGGTGTTGGTGCCCGCAATGCCTACGACATCGTCCTGTCGCAGATGCATCGCCTTCAGTTGCTGGGCGATGCGTATGGCAAAGCTGATGGCCTCGCCATTGGTCAAAGCAGTGCCCTCCGTGTCGGAAATCTGCAAGTAAAAGAATTTAAGTTGATTATGCTCGTCACTTTTTTATCACTAGCTCCACCTGGCATAGGCTCGCCGGATGATTGCGCATAAAGGCAAAGAGTATCTTTCCAATGGAGCAATCGGCGTCAAAGAAATGCGCCGGCCTTGGTCCACTCCAAATTTTTGTATATTTATCGAACTGCGTGCTGGGGCCGCCCTCCATGTTCGTTGATAACTGATAAGAGCGTCGATTTGATGTGAGGGTGTCCGAGCGTCGCGCAAGCCGTTTAGCAACTGCCGACCGTTGCATAGGCAACACCTGGGCAACCGCCACCCTATCAAACGGGTAACAAACGTCACCTAGCAAAAAGCTCGAGATATAAACAATGTTTGGCGATAAGCCGAAAAGCTGTCCAGCTGATAGCAAGGGCCATGAATTTCGTGATATGTTAGCCTTTTGTTGGTTTGGTTAAAATTATCTTTGCTAAACTGATGATGTTAATGATAAAAATATATTTGAAATGAATTTAATCAAATATTCTACAGTGTCTACTTTCAATAATTACTGGATACAATTTATTTGATCATTTATAATTTAATTAAAAATTATTTCTGCACAAACTCTGCGATTGCAATTTTTTGTTACCTTAAAAAGCATTTCGTTTTATGCGATAAAGCAGTGAACGTAAGCACGATACACAAGCTGTTCATCGAGCAGTGCTTAAAGTTCCAAAAATTACCAACGTCTTTTAATGGCGCTTTGGGACAGACAAAAAGAAAAATTGTATTTGCAATACACTACCGCTCACTTGAATAGCACCCATTTTCTTGAAATGTGAAAATGCATATAGCTTACAGACTAGTGCCTTTATTTTTCAATTTCTAATTTAATTATTTTATATATATATATATATATATATATATATATATATATATATCAACTTATATCCAACTTATATTGCCCACCAATTTAAGCCACAATTTTAATGTAATTAACTTTTGAAGAATACACAAATATTTAATGGTTAAATAAGACATACTGTTGGAAATTTAATTAAGATCGGTTAAGAAGCACCCAAAAGATATATGTTTTACTGCGCAATGTTTTACTAGCGCAATTTCCAAGAATTTCTGTATAAATGTACACACACATATTCATGCGCATTGCAGTTGCGATTGTTTTCAGTGTTGCTATTTTAATTCGTTTTTTCTTAATAAATTATTTATTAATTAATTCATTATGGGTGTTGAGTAGAGACATTGCAAGTAGTGTGGTCTGTCCCGAGTTTGGGCCCTACCAGGGAAACTATTTCTTTCTTTTTATACCCTGAACCCATTAAAAATGGGTATAAGAGTATATTGTACCCATAAAGTATATAAATTCTTGATTATTAAAAGTAGTTAGCAGTGTTTCTCTCCTTCGCGTATATTTCCTGGCAAAATCTATCCACCTGAACTGCTTGCAATTGGTTCAGTAAGCACTTGACTCTATAAGACAGAAATGGGCCATATTGAAGGAACACACTAGTATACCAAAACAACTATTTATGGACATAGTAAGAATTTGCATTCAGCAAACCCGATATTTCCAATATGAGGACAAAATACACACACACAACTAAAAGGAATGCCAAATTAAAAAGCTCTTGACGAAAAATGACTTCCCACAAAACGTAATTAAAACATTATTAAAAACACGACAAATTGAAAGGAAAAAGGAGACTATCAGAACGCCTCACGAACTCTGACTGTTACAACAAAAAAGAAATAAAAGCAGCACACAGACTTACGAATACATTTCAGTTCTTCAATAAGGTAAAATCAAAAATTCCTTATGATTGACAAAAGCAACGTCATTTACCAAATACCATTTGGCAGGGAAAACAACGAGTTCAATAGTGTTTACATAGGTACAATAAAATCGAAACTTAAAACAAGTATCAGTCAACATGAAATAACAAACTTACAACAAGAACAATAATACAACAAACGACACACATTAGAAATGCTACACATTATTAACAGACTTACCAACAAACGACTAAACTACAAGACAGACACAGAAAATTGCGCTTACCTTTACAGACATCTCTTAAACAGCCAAACAGCCACAGTTTCAATCTCTATGTCAAAAAGCGCAGACGTGTAAGATAATGTATGTAAAATGTTCAAATTAATGTTTTATCTTAATGTAATTTAATTGTTAAATGTTTTTTGTATCTTGGTGTTAGTGCTCTGAAGACGGTTTGACGATGTGCAACCGAAACATATTGGAACCAAAAATTAAATAAAATTGTTTCAATGTTTGTTTTTACAAACCCAGAGCCAGCCAACAAATGTTTTTAATATGAAAAGGTCGTTAAAACCATCAATAAACTTCAACTTTATTAATGGAATTTGTACTGTTTCAATTGACGCCGAATTATTTATTTGAAGCCCACCCCGCAAACAATGTGGTTGAAATTATTTAAATGAAATATACTGCAGCGTTTACTTTTAAATATATATAATGGAAACAATTTATTAACTCATTTAGATAAAAATATTTCTGCATAAGCGTTTTATATTTGCAATTTTTCTTTCCTTTTTGCTTAAAAATCATTTTGGTCTATACGATTAAGCAGTGTCTGCAAGCAGTGTAAACAAGCAGTTTACAGAGTAGTACTTGCTGTTTATAGTTTCAAATAAATTCAACGCGTTTTAATGGCGTTTTGAGCACAGAAAGTGGACACAGCAATGAGAAAAATTATATTCAATAATTTATGAAACTAACGAGTATTTTGAACAATTTCTTAACTAATTTGAGTATTTATTTCAATTATTTTAGTTATTGCATACGAAAAATTTCTTATAATAAATGTTTTATTTATACCATTAGTAGGTGGCATAGAGATCCGTTTATTTCTTTCAATAAGTTCGGAAAAACATTTCTTTGTTGCCTGACGATTGGTTTTTTCATTGGGATTATGCTTCCATTCTTTCACTATACTGGCACCTATATTTAAATGCTTATTCTGTATTTGTATGCGCTTCTGCACATAGTCCACGACATCCTGACCAACAATTCTTTCTGGTATCTGGAAGATGACATCTTCGATTTCGTATAGGTAGTACGTAAAGTTTTCGTACTTGAGCATATCTTTCTTGCGATCTATAATGTAGAAAAAAAAACAGCCGTCGTCCTTTTAGCCCAAGTCGACAGTATGCATCTAACGCTCTGAAACAATGACAATTATCGTCTGTGCTGTTTTCTATAAAATCATCAATATCCCATTTTATGGACGCTGCTCTTCCCACCTCACTAAAAGAGTACGTCAAATGAAGACAGTCGCCAGTGTGCATCCACTGCTCTAAGTTTCCTCGGCCACTATAAATTTCTGCCCATGCTAATCTTGCGCTGAGAATCCTAAAGCTTCAAAAATAACTTTCGTTTATTAAAACTTTGACCTTCATTTGCCCTACATAAACGAATCAATTAAATTCTCACAAAGATCTTTGAAAACATTTAGATCGGATAGTAAACAAAAAACTTTTATACAAACGTTTTCCGTCAACTTACCACTGCTGTGGGTGGAATTTCGCTGAAACACACATATATGTCGGATCCGGCTGGATCGGATCACTATATCATATAGCTGTCATTGGAATGATCGGTCAAAACGAACTTTTTTGTTTATCAAGATATCTTGACCAAACTCAGCGCTTATTAGAATTACTATGCTCCTATATATAAGCAACATCCTATCAACATTAGACCCGATATCATATAGATGCCATAGGAACGATCCGTCGAAAATTAGCTTGTTGTATGGAAAACTGTTTTGTTTTTCAAGATATCTGGACCAAACTCGGCATTTATAAGTGTCACTATGTTTCCTATACTTATGCTAAATCTTATTAAAATCGGAATATTATATCATATAGATTCCATAGGAACAATCGTTTGAAAAAAGCGTTCTTGTGTAAATAATAGGTTGTTTTTCAAGGTAAATTAACCATACCCGGCATTAACTATTTTCCCTTCGCTTCTTAGATACGTGCAAAGCACTATAAGCATTATGCAAAAGTTAAGTCTGCAAGGGTATTAAGTCTTCAGCGTGCCGTTAGCCCCTTTTTATTGTTTAGTTCTTATGTAGAGCGTTGAAAATAGGTTTATGAAAATCGGATACAACTTAAAACAACGCCCAAAAAATCGTAGCATTGCATTTTCCACAGAGGAAGCTTGGATTCTGATTCAAATGATTTTTTATATAATTAGATCCTTGGCATTGAATTTGAGCGCGAAATGTCACCCACCTTGACTTCCATTTCCACCAAGAAATATATTATATTAATATTTTTTCTCACGATTGCTTGAAATATAAATAAACTAGCTAAGCATAAGAAAAACAAATAATAAATTTCCTCCTCTACTCAGTTTATTTAAATAGATGATATTAGCGGATATTTTATTCAAGGAAAAACTTATAACTATTTTTATTGCTTTACTAAATGTATTTAAGGTGCTTCATAAATTTAATTTTTATATTTTACTTCGAGAAAGTATGCCTTTGTGGCCTGACGATTAGTTTTGCCGTTGGCAGTACGCTTCAAGTCATCCACAATGATGGCACCTCCATGTAAATGTTTATACTTAGCAGTGCAATGCTGCTCCACATAGTCCACCACGTCCTGTGCGTGTATGTTGGATCCAATCTTCTTCACGACAGCAGCAGCGGCCTCGTCACCGTTGAATTGATTCCAGATGCCAAAGACACAGACCTCCGCTACTTCTGGCATCTGAGCAATCAATTCTTCTATTTCGTTTGGGTAATACATTATGTTCTGGTACTTGAGCATATCCTTCTTCCGCTCCACAATGTAAAGGAAACCCTCGTCATCCATGTAACCAAGGTCCCCACTGTGAAACCATAGATTCGAGTCACGTATTTTGTGTGTCTCCTCGGGATTTCCATAATAACCGGCCCAATATTGACCAGAATAGACGCATATTTCACCGACCTCGTTCGGTCCCAGGGGCTGTCCCTGATCATCGAGTATCTTCAGCTTGAAGCCATCCATCAAACGGCCAGCCGAATTGGGTTTCTCATCAAAATGCCAGTTCATAGATAGCATACTTCCTAACTCTGTGAAGCCATAAGCTAATCTCATGCAATCATGGCGCAAACGACTCCTTATTTTATGTTGCGCCTCTAAGGAGCATCGGCCACCTCCGTAATAGTAGGATCGTATGCTTAGTAGGTCTGCCTGCTCGAATTCAGGGCAATTGGCAGACATAGCCAAGTGAGAAGGTGCCTGCATCAGCCACGAGACTTTGTGCTCCTCAATAATGCGAAGGAGACGAGCAGGATCAAAAGAATTGGCAGCTATAATTCGCTTGGTGCTATATACTCCCGAAGTGACCGTGGCTATGAGTCCGGTCACCCAGTCTAGAGTACTGTGCGTGTACTGAACGTCAGCAGTGGTCAGATGTCTAAGAAAGTTCTAGATATTTTTTACATATGACAACTATATTCTCTTACTTACGTGCTACAATTTAGGATCCTGCGACTATTCGTGATGGTCACTGCCTTGGGTGTACCCGTAGTGCCGGAAGAGCAGAGAATGGCCAGAGTTTGATCATTTCCCTGCTCAAGACGAGAGGGTTCGAAGTTTGGTTCCACAGGCGTAGCCAGCACTTCCTCAATGCTAATGGATCCGATCTGATGGTTACGCATTGTAATAATCTTCACGTTTAAGTCTTCCGTGGCCAATTTCACTTTCTCATAGTCTTCACCATCGCAAAATATTAAACGCGGCTTCGTAATATCAAATAGCTTCTCAATGGTCGCCTGTTCGTAGGAGACGTTGAGGGAGTGGAAGGCAATCCCATTGAAAAAACAGGCATAGGCCACGGCAAAGATGTGCGTAGTATTTCTTGCTATGATTCCCACAATGTCTGATTGCAGCAAGCCCAAAGATCTCATATAACTGGCCACGCGCATCGAGTTTAAATGGAGCTCCTCCCGGGTCAACACAGTATTTTCAGTGTCTGAGATCTAATCGGAAAACACAAAGCTGCTAAATGGGTTATCTTTAGATTATGCAGTGCTTAGTACTTACTTGAGCTATCAGCTTCGGGTGACGTCGCATTTCGTGAAAAATGATGTGTCCAATGGACAGATCGGGAGCAAAATATTCATGTTCCTGCTGACCATTCCAGATTCTGCGCTCCGCATCGTAGGTGTTCTCCGGTCTGTAAATCATTGTGAATGCAACAAGTTCACTTTGTTAACTGATGACACGAAAGTTAATCTGGCAGCATTTTTATACTCGTAGATAGCGTGCTTTCAAATCGTTGATAAGAATAGCTCGTTCGTATTCGTTTTCAAATGCAAAACGTGTTTAACGACAAGGCGGCAACTTATCAATGTGAATATATATGTAAGCACAGCATGCTTTGAATGCACTCAATTGAGTTTTAATTTTAAATTGTTGAGCTAATCGTGACTCAACAACATTTTAAGCTATACTTAATGAATCGCCAACGCAGTCTATTGTTATTGCTACGATCTACTAGTAAATGCAGAATGCGCGATTCGATATAAAAAATCTCTTCTCTACTTTGCTAGTATTGCCTGGCAAATTTATCCACTTATCACGGATTGAACTGCTGCCAATCAGGACACGAAGCAAGCAGCTTTAGACTAAATGGCTATCGGATGATATCAAAATTTAATAAAAACTAGTTTTGTTATTAAGTTTTCTTTAAAATGTGCTTTGTCACTTGTCCTTTACTTGTAGAATATAAGTTTTTGTTTGATAGTGATTATGTTATTGACGCATGCTCCAAATCGTCCACAATGATTTCAGGTGCAACAAAGTTCAAAACAAATATTCATTTTTGGTACTAAGTAGGTCCGCTTTATTAAATTTTCTTAAAACTGTCTGTTATTAACTGAGTACATTTAATTTCTATCTTTAATCTCGAGAAAATATGCCTTTGTGGCCTGACGATTGGTTTTGCCGTTGGCAGTACGCTTCAAGTCATCCACAATGATGGCACCTCCATGTAAATGTTTATACTTAGCAGTGCAATGCTGCTCCACATAGTCCACCACGTCCTGTGCGTGTATGTTGGATCCAATCTTCTTCACGACAGCAGCAGCGGCCTCGTCACCGTTGAATTGATTCCAGATGCCAAAGACACAGACCTCCGCTACTTCTGGCATCTGAGCAATCAATTCTTCTATTTCGTTTGGGTAATACATTATGTTCTGGTACTTGAGCATTTCCTTTTTCCGCTCCACAATGTAGAGGAAACCCTCGTCATCCATGTAACCCAGGTCCCCACTATGAAACCATAGATTCGAGTCACGTATTTTGTGTGTCTCCTCGGGATTTCCATAATAACCGGCCCAATATTGACCAGAATAGACGCATATTTCACCGACCTCGTTCGGTCCCAGGGGCTGTCCCTGATCATCGAGTATCTTCAGCTTGAATCCATTCAATAATTGTCCAACTGATTTTGGTTTCTCATCAAAGTTAAAGTTTACAGATATAGCACTTCCCACCTCTGTAAAACCGTACATTAAGTGCATGCAATCGCGTTGCAAACGACTCCTTATTTTATGTTGCACCTCCAAGGAGCAGTGACCACCTCCGTAAAAGTAGTCCTGTATGCTTTGCAGGTTGGATTGCTCAAATTCAGGGCAATTGGCAGACATAGCCAAGTGAGAAGGTGCTTGCATAAGCCACGTGACTTTGTGCTCCTCAATAATGCGCAGAAGACGAGCAGGGTCGAAGGCATTATCGGCTATAATGCGTTTGGTGCTGTATATTCCCGAAGTTACTGTGGTCAGAACTCCTGTCACCCAATCTAAAGAACTGTGCGTGTACTGAACGTCAGCAGTCGTCAGACGTCTAAGATTGTTCAAAATATATTAAATATAATTTTACTATTTTGTTGAGTTGACTTACGTGGTCATGTTTAGGATCCTGCGACTATTAGTGATGGTCACTGCCTTGGGTGTACCCGTAGTACCTGATGAGCAGAGAATGGCCAGAGTATGATCATTTCCCTGCTCAAGACGAGAGGGTTCGAAGTTTGGTTCCACAGGCGTAGCCAGCACTTCCTCAATGCTAATGGATCCGATCTGATGGTTACGCATTGTAATAATCTTCACGTTTAAGTCTTCCGTGGCCAATTTCACTTTCTCATAGTCTTCACCATCACAAAATATTAAACGCGGCTTAGTAATATCAAATAGCTTCTCAATTGTCGCCTGTTCGTAGGAGACGTTGAGGGAGTGGAAGGCAATCCCATTGAAAAAACAGGCATAGGCCACGGCAAAGATGTGCGTAGTATTTCTTGCTATGATTCCCACAATGTCCGATTGTTGCAAGCCCAAAGATCTCATATAACTGGCCACGCGCATCGAGTTTAAATGGAGCTCCTCCCGGGTCAACACAGTATTTTCAGTGTCCGAGATCTAATCGGGAAACACAAAGAAATTAATTAAGTAATCTATTGATTGCGCAGCTAATTACTTACTTGAGCTATCAGCTTTGGATGACGTCGCATTTCATGAAAAGTGATCTCCCCAATGGAGAGATCGGGTGCAAAGTATTCACATTCAGCTTTTCCACTCCAAACTTTGCGCTCCGCATCGTAGGTGCTCTTCGGCTTGTAAGACATTGTGAAACGAACTAGTATACTTTATTAACTGATTGCCGAAAGTTAATCTGGCAGACTTTTTATACTCTGAGATTACGAGCATTTCAATCTCAGATAACACTAGCTCACTCAAATTCTTTTTATTAATTGAAAAAGAGCTCAACTGCAAACGTGTAGCCTATTAATGCAAATATATATGTAAATATAGCATGTAATTGTAATATAGTATTGTTGAGCTAATCGTGAGTCGCCAAAAGTTTTAAACGAATTGATAGCACAGTCTGTTGTTGACAGCGCTTCAATTTACATGTACATTAAAATAAGTTAACAGTTTTTCTTCGCGTATATCTCCTGGCAAATTTAACCGGCTGGCAAGGACTGCTTGCAATTAGGCCACTAAGCAAGCAGCTTGTGATTTAACTGTAATTGGATATCTATTTCAAATTAAATATGTGCATTTTTGAAGTTTTATTTTTTTAATTCAGTATGCGTTTTGTCACTTGTTCTTAACTTTTATAAAATAATTCTTTGTGGCTTGCCGATTGGTTTTGCCATTGGCACTCCGCTGGAGATCGTCTACAATGATGGCACCTGCATGCAAATGCTTGTAACTTGCAGTGATATGCTTTTGCACATAGTCCACCACATCCTTGGCTTGTATATTTGTGCCGATCTTCTTGACCACGGCAGCAGCCGCCTCGTCACCATTGGTATCATCCCAAATTCCAAAGACACAGACTTCTGCCACATCTGGCATCTTGGAGATGACCTCTTCGAGTTCATGGGGATAGTACATTATATTCTGGTACTTAAGCATATCTTTTTTTCGATCAACTACGTAGAGAAAACAATCGTCATCCATGTAGCCCAAGTCGCCAGTGTGCATCCACAACTCTGAGTCGCATATATTATGAGTTTCCTCGGGATTTCCATAATAGCCGGCCCAATATTGGCCACTATAAACGCATATCTCTCCCACTTCGTTCGGTCCGACAGCCTCTCCCCTTTCGTTCAATATCTTAAGCTTATAACCGTCTCCCAAACGACCTACGGAATTGGGCTTTTCATCAAAGTTGCAGTTCATGGCCACCATGCTGCCCGCCTCCGTGAATCCGTACACCAAATGAAGGCAGTCGTTCCGCAGATGCCTTCGTAGGCGTTGTTGTACCTCTAAGGAGCAACGACTTCCTCCATACAGATAGAAGCGAATACTTTGCAGATTTGCTTTTTCGAACTCCGCGCAATTAACCAACATCGCCATGTGTGAAGGTGCCTGTAATATCCACGTGACGTTGTGCTCCTCGATGATTCGCAGAAAATCCACAGGATCTAAGGGTTTTGTACTTATAATTCGTTTCGTGCTGTACACTCCTGAACTTATTGCTGTAAGCAATCCTGTCACCCAATCTAGAGAGCTCAGTGAAAACTGAACGTCATCGGTAGTCAAGTAACTTAAAGAGGTTAGGGTTATTAAATAAAAATATGGATGAAAATTTTGGCATTACTTGGTGCTGTTTAAGATCTTGCGACTGTTCGTGATGGTCACTGCTTTGGGTATGCCCGTGGTGCCTGAAGAACAGAGAATGGCCAGGGTTTGATTATTTCCCTGCTCAAGACGAGAGGGTTCGAAGTTTGGTTCCACAGGCGTAGCCAGCACTTCCTCAATGCTAATGGATCCGATCTGATGGTTACGCATTGTAATAATCTTCACGTTTAAGTCTTCCGTGGCCAATTTCACTTTCTCATAGTCTTCACCATCGCAAAATATTAAACGCGGCTTCGTAATATCAAATAGCTTCTCAATGGTCGCCTGTTCGTAGGAGACGTTGAGGGAGTGGAAGGCAATCCCATTGAAAAAACAGGCATAGGCCACGGCAAAGATGTGCGTAGTATTTCTTGCTATGATTCCCACAATGTCCGATTGTTGCAAGCCCAAAGATCTCATATAACTGGCCACGCGCATCGAGTTTAAATGGAGCTCCTCCCGGGTCAACACAGTATTTTCAGTGTCTGAGATCTAATCGGAAAACACAAAGCTGCTAAATGGGTTATCTTTAGATTATGCAGTGCTTAGTACTTACTTGAGCTATCAGCTTCGGATGACGTCGCATTTCGTGAAAAATGATGTGTCCAATGGATAGATCGGGTGCAAAATATTCATGTTCCTGCTGACCATTCCAGATTCTGCGCTCCGCATCGTAGGTGTTCTCCGGTCTGTAAATCATTGTGAATGCAACAAGTTCACTTTGTTAACTGATGACACGAAAGTTAATCTGGCAGCATTTTTATACTCGTAGATAGCGTGCTTTCAAATCGTTGATAAGAATAGCTCGTTCGTATTCGTTTTCAAATGCAAAACGTGTTTAACGACAAGGCGGCAACTTATCAATGTGAATATATATGTAAGCACAGCATGCTTTGAATGCACTCAATTGAGTTTTAATTTTAAATTGTTGAGCTAATCGTGACTCAACAACATTTTAAGCTATACTTAATGAATCGCCAACGCAGTCTATTGTTATTGCTACGATCTACTAGTAAATGCAGTATGCGCGATTCGATATAAAAAATTAGTAATACTTCTCCTCTCTACTTTGCTAGTATCGCCTGGCAAATTTATCCACTTATCACGGATTGAACTGCTGCCAATCAGGACACGAAGCAAGCAGCTTTAGACTAAATGGCTATCGGATGATATCAAAATTTAATAAAAACTAGTTTTGTTATTAAGTTTTCTTTAAAATGTGCTTTGTCACTTGTCCTTTACTTGTAGAATATAAGTTCTTGTTTGATAGTGATTATGTTATTGACGCATGCTCCAAATCGTCCACAATGATTTCAGGTGCAACAAAGTTCAAAACAAATATTAATTTTTGGTACTAAGTAGGTCCGCTTTATTAAATTTTCTTAAAACTGTCTGTTATTAACTGAGCACATTTAATTTTTATCTTTAATCTCGAGAAAATATGCCTTTGTGGCCTGACGATTAGTTTTGCCGTTGGCAGTACGCTTCAAGTCATCCACAATGATGGCACCTCCATGTAAATGTTTATACTTAGCAGTGCAATGCTGCTCCACATAGTCCACCACGTCCTGTGCGTGTATGTTGGATCCAATCTTCTTCACGACAGCAGCAGCGGCCTCGTCACCGTTGAATTGATTCCAGATGCCAAAGACACAGACCTCCGCTACTTCTGGCATCTGAGCAATCAATTCTTCTATTTCGTTTGGGTAATACATTATGTTCTGGTACTTGAGCATTTCCTTTTTCCGCTCCACAATGTAGAGGAAACCCTCGTCATCCATGTAACCCAGGTCCCCACTATGAAACCATAGATTCGAGTCACGTATTTTGTGTGTCTCCTCGGGATTTCCATAATAACCGGCCCAATATTGACCAGAATAGACGCATATTTCACCGACCTCGTTCGGTCCCAGGGGCTGTCCCTGATCATCGAGTATCTTCAGCTTGAATCCATTCAATAATTGTCCAACTGATTTTGGTTTCTCATCAAAGTTAAAGTTTACAGATATAGCACTTCCCACCTCTGTAAAACCGTACATTAAGTGCATGCAATCGCGTTGCAAACGACTCCTTATTTTATGTTGCACCTCCAAGGAGCAGTGACCACCTCCGTAAAAGTAGTCCTGTATGCTTTGCAGGTTGGATTGCTCAAATTCAGGGCAATTGGCAGATATAGCCAAGTGAGAAGGTGCTTGCATAAGCCACGTGACTTTGTGCTCCTCAATAATGCGCAGAAGACGAGCAGGGTCGAAGGCATTATCGGCTATAATGCGTTTGGTGCTGTATATTCCCGAAGTTACTGTGGTCAGAACTCCTGTCACCCAATCTAAAGAACTGTGCGTGTACTGAACGTCAGCAGTCGTCAGACGTCTAAGATTGTTCAAAATATATTAAATATAATTTTACTATTTTGTTGAGTTGACTTACGTGGTCATGTTTAGGATCCTGCGACTATTAGTGATGGTCACTGCCTTGGGTGTACCCGTAGTGCCGGAAGAGCAGAGAATGGCCAGAGTATGATCATTTCCCTGCTCCAGACGAGAGGGTTCGAAGTTTGGTTCCACAGGCGTAGCCAGCACTTCCTCAATGCTAATGGATCCGATCTGATGGTTACGCATTGTAATAATCTTCAAGTTTAGGTTTTCCGTGGCCAATTTCACTTTCTCATAGTCTTCACCATCGCAAAATATTAAACGCGGCTTCGTAATATCAAATAGCTTCTCAATGGTCGCCTGCTCGTAGACGATGTTGAGTGAGTGGAAGGCAATCCCATTGAAAAAACAGGCATAGGCCACGGCGCAGATGTGCGTAGTATTTCTTGCTATGATTCCCACAATGTCTGATTGCAGCAAGCCCAAAGATCTGATATAACTGGCCACGCGCATCGAGTTTAAAAGGAGCTCTTCCCGGGTCAACACAGTATTTTCAGAGTCCGAAATCTGTTTAGAAAATACACTTGTCAGTATTATGTTATGTATGAGCTGGGCACCTGATTAGATACTTGAGCTATGAGCTTCGGATGCCGGCGCATCTCATGGAAAATTATCGCACCAATTGATTGATCAGGTGAAAAATAGGCTCGATCATTTTGTCCACTCCAGATTCTACGCCCTGAATCGTAGCTGCTTTCCGGTTTGTAAGACATTGTAAACGTAGCGAGTCAATTTTATTTAATGCTGAGCCAAAGCTGTAACTAGTTGCATTTTATACTAGTAAAGCTTAGATAAAGAGTGCAGCGCTCTCCGAATGATATTTTCGCAGTAGCTTGTAGAGAGACTAATCTGTCAGTACATAGAAAACATATAGTATATATTTATGTAGTATAAACACGTATTCTCTCGACTGCCAATTATTTTACAAGCTGAGTAATTGAAACTGATTAGCCAATCATGAGTCGTTAACGTTTAGCGAAGTCTCGTGTAAATGCTGTTAGAGTATTTACTTTTAAGAATTCCAATATAATAAAATGGATGTGATTGAGAATCGTCTGTTATATATTTTGTCATATAATAATATAAGATCATTCCATTTAGCTTTCAATCACCTTTCTCTAAAATGTTCTTAAATTATTATACTAAAACCCAAGCATACACCGGTTCATATTTATCATTCCTACAATTAAAGCAAGAATATTGTTGCGTGCTGAAACTTGCTTACCTTGAGGATAGTTAAGATCACATACATTTGCAAATCATTGTTTTTTGTAGGGTACGCATTACACTATCAGCTGGTGTAAACTTTCCATGCTAGTTATCATAGCGAATATGTAATCAACATAATTGTAACGCAAAAACAGCGAAATGATGATATGTCTAATCTTTTTGCTGTATCATTATTTTTACTGCTTTTATGTGGCCTTATTTGTAACTTTCTTAAGGTTTTCACGAGTTCTATTACGTAGTTATATGACAATGCATTTTGGCTCACTTTCTTACACTCTTATCTTAACTAATTCCGTGTGCCATTTAGATAAAAAATAATATTCAGATATATATTTGTTTTGCTTGGATTAAAGTCTTGTCTAAATAATAATATGCGCATAGTTCCATATCGTAGAGTCCGAAAAGGTTTGGCGATATTCGATCCGTTGTTTTTATAGTGTGTATATAAAATTAAGACCTTCAGTTTTAACCAGCTCTTCCGAAATATGTATTTCCTTCAGTAGAGCAATGGATAATCTGTAGTTATGAATGCAGCAACACAAAGGGAATAGTGTGCATGGAAGTAGAGGGACCTAGCTATATCGAGTCGGAAACTGGCCGTGGTGAGAAACATATATGTAGATTTTATGTGATGTTTGGAAATGCGTTAGACATTAGCATACCCTCTACATGGTTATAAAAAATGATAATTTAATCTAACCGGGACATGATATTCTATTGATTTAAATAATTATTTATTTAATACACATTCCATATTAAATTGTTAATACATTAATTGACATTGTGAAACTCTATTTAAAAGGTTATTTGCTAGTCAAGCAGCGCAGATTGGATCACATTAAGTGCTTGCAACCTTATCAACGTTTGGGAACAACCTATTATGAATCAGTTATCTCTGTTTTCCCTGCTGCTATTAGATAAGCGGCCTTCACGGCCTGACGATTGACCTTGCCATTGGCGCTTTTCGCCAGCTGGTGCACAATCTGTGCCCCCCCATTCAGCTGTTTATGGCTTACACTGATAAGCTCGGCCACAAATTGCACCACCTGAGCGGGGTGCAGTTGACTACCCGGTCTGGGCACCACAGATGCAGCTGCTGCATCGCCTTCGGTCTCATTCCAAATGCCAAAGACGCACACCTCGGCGACTTGGGGCATTTGGGCGATGATCTCCTCGATCTCATGCGGATAGTACATCATGCCCAGATACTTGAGCATATCCTTTTTGCGCTCCACAATGTGCAGATAGTTATCCTCATCGAAGTAGCCCAAATCACCCGTATGGAACCAGCCCTCCTTGTCCTTTATCTCAGCTGTGGCCAGGCAGTTGCCATAATAGCCACTCCAGTGATGTCCATTGTGACAATAGAGTTCCCCATGCTCATTTGGACCCACTGTCTCCGATGACGGGTTCACCACGCGCATGCGTACGTTGGGTACGAGAAGACCCACAGATTTGGGCTTCGTGTGAACGCTGGAGTTATAGGAGATGCAGGCGCCCAGCTCTGTCATGCCGTAGGCATTGCGCAGAATGCCCTCGCCGCGCATATAAGACTGCATCTTGTGGAGAGTTGCGACCAGGGTGTGGCCACCAGCGAAGAGCAAATGCCGCATACTACACAGCTGTTTCGCGTTTATCCCTGGACAATTGGCAAGCATGGCGATATGTGAGGCAGCCAGCACCGCCCAGCTGATGCTCTGCTGCTCGCACATGGCCAGAAAGTGTGTGGGACTGAAAACCTCCATTGAAATGAGACGCACTGTGCCATAGACCCCAGCCGTAACCAGGGTGATCAAACCCGTTAGCCAGTCCAGAGTGCTCGGCGCATATTGTATGTCATTGGCGCTCAGATAGCTAGAGAAATATTAACTATACAGATGAATCACATATAGCAATAGGAAGTTCTAATATACATATAGAGTGTCCGTGCATAAATTTCTTGTGCTTCTTATCTCAAACCTAGACTTCCTTTTCTTTACTATTTTCTTATGAGTGTAGGGTATTTAAAGAAGAGATCCTACCTATGGCTCTCGAATATCTGGCGACTATTTGATATGGTGACTGCTTTGGGGGTGCC